TCTGGATAATCAAACACTAGCACTGTGGCCTTCGAAACTCAACCAAATTTCCTAACAAAGCACTCCATACTATCAGAAAAAAGCTTTTCCAATATCATTCTAGCACTTTTGAAACAATGTGCAACACCAATGTTTAAAGACTAAAATGAACCTTCTCCAATAATGCTCACACTCCCCACCTAAATTATTCAGTAATGGAACTTCCAACAGAAATGGCAGGGCCCCTGCAGTGGTGGGGAAAACAAACGAAGCTATACTTTGCTGGCCCCTGCCGTCCCATACTGGCAGTACCACCTGCACCAAGGAGGCCTTCCTAAAGAGATGAAAACCCACACTGCTCAGGGGAGGGCTGAGCGGTGGGATGCTAATACTGTCAGATGCAGGGCTCTGATCCTTCCCAGCAGTCCTAGGGGTTAACACAGGTCTCAATTCCAGGTCAAGGACACTGAAGTCAAGATCCAAACACCAAAGAGAAGGAGGAATGCAGAATCGAGGTCAGGTTACCAGCCCTGGATCAGGAACACTTAAATCAGCGGTTCTCAACCTGTGGGTCGCGACCCCTTTGGGGGTCGAACGACCCTTTCACAGGGGTCGCCTATGTGATTAATCACTATACTTTAATTATGTTCAATTTGTAACAATGAAATTGGGGGTCACCACAACATGAGGAACTGTATTAAAGGGTCGCGGCATTAGGAAGGTTAAGAACCACTGACTTCAATCAAAGCAACAGGAGAGATGGAAGAGTAGAGAAAACAGAGTGTTGAAGAAATAAGAAAAATTAGATCACCAAGAAACAGAACACATCTGAACCCTTAAATACAAGGTCACATCACAATTCAATCTAGCCTACACAGTCTGGTCTAATTTCAAACAGCCAATCTGACTTTCTGATTAACCCAGGTAACTTCACAAGTAAAAGACTAAAAGGTCCTCATAATGATCAATGGTGACAGCCTTAACATAACTTCCTAGCCCTACCCACCTGTCCAATATTAGTTCCAATCTCCAAGGAGATCACAGCTTTATTTCAGCATTAACCCTCCAAATAACAATCCCATTGCCTTCCATTTTTAGTCTCAGCAATTTCATTCCCTTATGTTCCCTCTCATTTTCATTCTTTTCTACTCTCCTGTTTCTTCTCTCATAGCCTACAAATAGGAACAGGGCATGCATGCCTTCAGGAAATCAACCTGGACATGAGTCTGTTAGGAAACATTAGGAAAGCTGGTAGTCTACACAAGCAGGATTTACACTGCAGGCAGGGCCAGGTGGGGGCTCCCTGTCAAGGCCCGAAGATCATGCCTCCCTGTCAGCAATGTGTGTGTCACTCTAGTCAAGTCCAGCCCACAGGCCTGAACCACAGCACTTCAGCTACTCTCTCCAACTGTTCACTCCTGTGTCCTGATTCTGATCATCTGTGGACCTAACTCTCCTGGGTGTCTCTAATCCTGGCTCAGAGAGCTAATCCCGAGTGCTTCCTCTGATGTCTGCTCTGAATGCTGGGCTTTTTCTATGATTAACCCTGCCAGAGAGCTAGCCAGGCACCTGCTTTACCGTTATAGGACAGTGATGAACATGTCTGTCTTCATTCAGTGGCTATCCCACTATCATGCAAAATGGGCATAAAATGCTATCTGCAGAGGATGCTGATCAAAGTCTGGAATACCAAGCCAGTTGAAGTTTGTCCTTCCTGAGCTCTAGAAGACCCTCTGGTGACAAGGGCTCTGCCCACGGCTGCCCTGTGACGCTGTCATTCAGGCAGACGTAAACCGGGCCTGTCACCACCATGCGGAAAAAAAAGAAGGCCGTTTCCTCAGATGTGTGCAGTTAAAACTAAAGGGTTAAAATTTTCCAATTCTTCGTCCTAACACAGTACGACAATGGCAGCTTGGGGAGACTGTCCTCAGGTCAAAGGTCAAAACATTATTTTAAGTAAAACTTTTACAATGTTATCTTATTGAATCTGATTTATTTTGTCTGAACTGATTTTTAGATTAAGTCTTGGAGGTAATTATTTCTGGTAATTAAGAAGTCATTTTTTCAAACATTTCTTATATTTGGTAAAATAACTTGGGGAAGGGCTCCCTCCCTCAAAATTAAAAATGAGAGATAATAATTATTTAACTATCAGGTTAATATCACAGTTCATCTTTGTATAGATACTGCAAGTAAATCTTAAGGATGATTTCCAGGATAAGCTTAATATCTAACAAAGTAATCCTTCTAAAGTCCCAAAGTGCACATTAAAACACTGGTACGGGGCTACTTCAAGTGTATGTCTCATTTCACCCGCTGCAATGGAAACTCACAGCACTGTGGACCATGGTCTCACAGTTCATTTATGTATCTCTACAGTCCCACTTTCAGAGCTAAATACAGTGGGTGCTCAGTAACTCACTTTCTACATGTACAAGGTCAAATCGAACTCCTTATTCATACATTGCTTCTATGTATTTGTACTTGTTAATCTGGCTTGTGTGCCTAAGGAATGAGGGAACAAACTGTCTTAGGTGTGATGAGAGGTTAAGCTTTTTCAAAGAGACCAACAATATATGTATTTATATATTGTATTATATAATAATAGATGGCATATATCAGTCATCAAGTATACCTTATCAATACATTGGTTAATATGTATATTATCAACCTCCTCATGCTAAACTATCACACATGCTCAAGAATTCAGGGTATCAAACAGTGGTCATAAATGTGACCATTACCAGTCTGTAGGTCCCAAGACTGCCTTAAAAGTATTTCTTAAAAGTTGGGTTGTTTTTTAATATATATTTTTACTGATTTTTAGAGAGAGAGGAAGGGAGAGGGAGAGAGAAAGAGAAACACTGATGTGAAAGAGATACATCAATGGGCTGCCTCCTGCATGCTCTCACCAGGGATTGAGCCCACAGTCCGGGCATGTGTCCTGACCAGGAATCAAACCAGCAACCTTTTGGTGCATGGGGTGATACCCAACCAACTGAGCCACTCCGGCCAGGGCAAGAGTTGGGATTTTTAAATTTTATCTTTATTGTTCAAAGTATTACATATGTCCCCTTTTCTCCCCGCTTTAATCTTTCCCTACGCACCCCCTTCGCCTACAGCACTACTGTCTGTGTCAATGGGTTATGGATATATGCATAATAGCATCCCAACAGAGGCTCTCAAAATAAGGTCAAATTACAAATGGCGACAATTTCCTATTCTCACTTTTAAATTCCTTCAAAACTTGAGTCAGCATTATACAGTTCCAAAGGTTATCAAATTAAGAAAAACGTTTTTAATGTCAAAATGAAGTACCTTCTTTATTTACCTTTAAGACCGATTAACTGTGACTAAGCCAGTCCAGATTACTAAAACAGATCCCAATGTGAATTAGCACAGGGGAACACACACAGCACACACTGAAAACAGCAGGACATGATTACTTAAAAGTGCTTTCTCTAGTGTTGGGGGGGGGGGGGGCGCGCGTTTAGAACTTAGTTACAGAGGGCAGATTTCCCTTAAGGCCCAGCTAAGCAAAAGCGGATGTTATGAACAGACAACGTGGGGCAATGCAATACTCATGCAGAAGAGTCTAAATAAAATGACTTTCCTTCCACTTCTCTGCAGTGACACAAAATCAAAAGAGAAACAATTCATTCTAAGAAAAACAACATTTTATTTCAACAGATAATCCAGAGCAAAAGTCTTAGCATCTTCATCTTTAGAGGTCTATAGGTTATATGCAAAATTTCATACATGTCTGCGCCTTTCTGAGAAAAAGTCTATAGATCTCATCACATAGGAAAATATGACCAAGATAAGAACCCACAGAGAGAAATCAGTTTTCCATCATTAATTTCTCACTAGTTTTAATGACCCAGAAAGGAGAAATGCTCAAAAATGAAGGAGGCTAAAATAGTAACATTTTGCTCACAATAAACTTCAACACAGGCAGCCTTTTATATTAATGTAATATAAATCCACTCCCCAAAATCAAGCAAGAAACTGAGGCTCCCCTCTCATCAAACTACTTTGATAAACTCTCAAAATAGGGAATTAACAGGAAGACAGCTTAGTCTGCAAACCCATTCTCAAGTCTTACAAACTCGAACATTATTTATCACTCTAAGAATTTTAAATTCAAGGACAATATATCCAAATCTTATTTTTTTTACTTTTCTTTAAATTGCCCTCCACTCCAACTGTCAATTTTCCTAAAATATCTTACACAGAGCAAATATTCATTAAACATCAGAACAAACAAGTAAACAAATTACAATTATATGGGCCAACTAAGAGTGGGATGGAAACCATCAGTTCATTACAGGTGCCAACATAAGCCTGCCAGGTACAATCTATGGGCCAATCTCCATTTCTGGCCACTCTTTGATTTTTTTTTTTTTTAAATGAACATATTAAGTGGCATGACACTCACAATAAGGACAGAATGTGACAGCATTATCACAAGGTATACATTTAATACATCTTCCAAACCAGGGAACAGGGCAGTACTGAGTGGAGATGAAATAAACAAACAGAAGCCGAGCCGGTCAGGGCCGAGTAAGGTTGAGGTTAGTGGCAACAGCATGTGCGTGGTTTCCAGGAAACCTTCAGTAAGACTGCTGTTAGCCCTAGCCCCGCACCTTGCCCAACCCAGTGCGCTGCCTCTTCTTCCAGCTCCCCGCCTGGCTCAGTGCAGCACTGCCCTGCTCCCAGGGGTGCAGCCGCCCGGCCTGAACTCACCTGGGCCGTGGAAGGGCCTGAAGTTTAAAACATGTTAATGCATCCTGCCAAAAGTGCAGTGAACATGCATACTTCATACACCCATGGTTTCAGAGAGAGAGAAAACGTGCCACCATAAGACAACTTCTGTACGAAACACCCTCAAAGAATTCGAAGAAACAATTTTATGGACACCCACATTTACCACAAAGTAAGAACAGAATAGTAGTATTACAACATCGAGAAACTGCACCTCACAGATTAAAGTTCCAAAAATAATTATGTGCTTCACCTACTTTAACTGCCATTATTTGTCCACTTGGTTTGTGGACCATTTTGTTGACAGAACCATACGCTCCTCGTCCGATTTCTCCCAGGTCTTTCAAGTCCTCTGCGGTGAAATCCCAGTGCTGTTCAGGGGAGATCTTCAGTTTTCCTGATGATTCAATGCTGTGTGTTCTCAGTCTCTCTCTGTTAAAATATTGAAAAGCAATTTCCACATTTTAAATATGGTTTGACTTATTTATTTTAGCTAGCAGCGATTAATGTGTGGGGAATTTGTTTTCTCATAATTTACTAAAACAGTCTGACCTCCAGATTTTGGGAGTTTTGTGTTTGTATTATCTTGGTTTTTCACACACTGAATTAAGAAAGGCTGAAATTTAGGTAATCCATAAACACAGCTTTAATGGGATTTATAAAACTAATTTCCATTTATTGAAGAAACTAATTCTGCACACCAGTTTTTATTTCCAAATACAGATCTTTTCCAAACTTTGCAAACTGTATTATCAAATGTGGAATCCCAAGAGCTACAAGCCCCATTTCCAGAAAGTTCTCATCCTACCTCACCCAATATTATTTATTCTAGGTTCACAATCCTGGTGCAGCTATTCACAAACTGCTGCACATTCGAATCATTTGGGGAGAATTTTTTAGACCCTACAGCAATTAAATCAGAAAACCTAGGGACAAGAGGCAGGAAACCATATTTTTAAAGATCCCCAGGTGATTCTGGCAGAGTTTAGGAACTAGCACCTCAGTGTACTGCCATGTTCATGATAATGCCATGCTCAGGGAGGGGGATAGTTAAATGAGTATTCCGCTGGCTCTAAGATGAAACTGCCATGTGCAATTCAAATTTGAAGCTTTTAGCCTTTGTTCATTAGATAAAGCAATGGAGTGAACATAAATAATTCATAGACAAGAGCGCTTACTCATTACAGATTTTCATTAAATAAAAACTTCACCTCCAAAATTCCAACCGAGAGAACATATTAACTTCTAATCATGCTTCGTAAAGAAAAAAAAAAATCCAATTAAAACTAAAAAATCAATCTCATTTCTCACTCCCTCTGTCTATGTGTGTCTCTCTTTCTCTTTTATCACATACACTGCAATGTGCAGGAATAAACTGCATCAACTAGAGTGAAACATACATAAAAGAAAAACATTCCACTAAGTATCATCTACATTTTTTTAATTTCATATTAAATGATCAGAATCTCTTTTTAAATCTCATCTGGAGATACAAAAAAAGTTTATATGCTTGGGGTTTTTTTATTTTTCTTCTTCCAACATTTATGAACATTTCTCAGATTTTTTTGGTTTTTGTAGCTATTTTTAAGGTTCTCAAAATACTTAGAATTTTAAAAGTGCTCCAGAATAACCAGGTACACTAATATTAATAATAACCAAGATTTGGTGAAAAGGTAAAACCTTCCAGTTATAAAATAAACAAGTTCTGGGGATGTAATGTACAGCATGGTGACTATAGTTAATAGAGTATTATATATCTGAGAGTCGCTAAGAGTATAGATCTTTAAAGTTCCAATCATACACAAATTTATAACTGTAGTTGGTGATGGATGTTAACTAGACTTACTGTGGTGATCATTTCACAATATACACAAATATTTAATCATTAAATCATGTACCTGAAATGAATATAATGCCAATTATACCACAATAAAAATAAATAAAACCTCTTCAAGGTGAAAACATAACAATAGCCAAGATTCAAGATTATTGTTCAAAGATTAGTACACTGTCAAAGTAACAACTTAGTGAACTAGCATACCAAAAGCCAGATTCTCAAATCACAATACGAACATGTCATAACACCAGCCTTCATTCATCCAGTTTCCAAACACTTTCACCGGTCTACCTCAGACTCTAGAATCTAGAGTCACAGGAACCCGGAAATCAGTGGCCTAAGTGACCAGTCAGGAACAGCTGTGAAGCCTGAACGAAGTTTTTAAGATGGAAATCAGATCCAGGCAAGTACATCAAGCCCAGAGACTAATTTCCTCAGTAATCTTTTCCATGAAGTATACAAATTAAGCCAGGAAACATTCTAGCATCAAAAAGTCCCATGTATAGCGATTACTGTTCTATGATCAATGGCAAGTAAACACCATCTGTACGGCACAGTTTAACCACTGGTGAAATATACAGCACCAGCCTATTGCTGAGGGAGCTGAAGAAAGGTAATTAAAATTGTGTGTAAATTGGAAGCGGCATTTTGAAGTATTCACTAATTCAGGGCAATGGCAGAGAGGATCTACAGTGGTCCCTAAGCTCTACATTCCTGGTGCTCACATCTCTCTGTAAGCTCCTCTCTGAGCACAGATGGGGCCTGTAACTTGCTTCTAACCAGTAAAATATGGCAACAGATATCATGCTCATGATCACACTGTGTTATAGAACATTTATTGCTACTATTACTCAGATACAAAATGAATGATATTTCATTACTACGTAAAATCACACAACAGCTACACTATCTTTGCTAATAGTTTAGCTTACTATATATAGGCTGCTATGTGATTTCCAGAAAAAGTCCTTTTTTTTTCCTTTTGTAAAGTGAACAGATTGATAGCTGAACTATGCAGGTTACCGTCTTAGGCTAATGAAAATGTTCAAAAATTGATTAAGGTAACAGATGAATAACTCCGAATAACTAAAAGCTACTGATTGGAGAGTTAAATGGGTGAATTGTGTAGTATAGGAATTACATATGTCAATAAAGCTGCTAAAAGTTAGATAAACAGGAAGATGTGATTACTACCCAGAGCTCCATTTCTCATTTAGACAGGAAAAGAGTCATGAAAACCACAGAAAACTATGCTCTGGAATGTCACCAGGGCATGTCCGTAGTCTTCAATAATATGGGCTGGCCATCTTTTCAGTGATCCTGAACCAATTTCACAGCTACTGTTTTAAGTGTTTCCAACCACAATGGCTTCCAAAGGACTGTGCGTAGAACAGACACAGTGCTCTAGAGACTAGCCCAGAAGCCAACCTGAGCTGTCACCACTGAACTCTAGCAGTGCATCAACGAGGCAACTGTACCAAGTGGCCAAACCCTTAGCTGCAGTTTTTCATCTGAGGAAAATTTGTCCAACATGATTTAAGTGTTACTTCTACTATTCAGTATCAGGAATTCCTAATCATTTCATTATTAATTTCTTACCTGAAAATTCAATGATTCCATAAACCTAGAACAGTGATGGCGAACCTATGACACGTGTCAGAGGTGACACGGGAACTCATTTTTTTGGTTGATTTTTCTTTGATAAATGGCATTTAAATATATAAAATAAATATCAAAAATATAAGTCTTTGTTTTACTATGGTTGCAAATACCAAATTATCTCTATATGTGACACGGCACCAGAGTTAAGTTAGGGTTTTTCAAAATGCTGACACGCCGAGCTCAAAAGGTTCGCCATCACTGACCTAGAAGTTATCCACGGGGCCATTGCCCTATCAGTAAATAAGTTCTTATATTTACTCATATTCCTCCTAAAATATATGTTAAGTCCCTACATGGTTAATTCTTAACTAAGACATCCCACCATTCTCTTTTTTTGCCCACTCAGGAAACAAACAAGGGACTGATGTTCTAAGTTTCAAATTAACCCCCCAGCAAACCCTCTCCATAAAATAGTCCAGGAGGGAAAAAAGTTCATAGAAAAATGAGCAACATTCTCCTTTGAAGTTGAAGGTCTTTAATATGAAAACAAGTTTCAGTAGTTGTTGTTATAACAGAACTTGTAATTGGACTATCAAATGACACATATTCCAGTTAAAACTCAGCTACACTAACATTTTTTTAATGCCTAAGATCAGAAATATGAATTAAATAGTGTATCTCTTGAATACAGTATTTCGAACAGTATGCATTTTGGATACATATTAACATCAAAGACACTGTTTAGATATAGACTGATGTCCCGTTAAAATCTTTCCTCCTACATAAAGCTAAATAGAATTTCAGTGGCAATATGAACTTGAAATCTAAAGACACCGACACTAAGGATTAAAATCTAAAAAAAAGTATCAGCTCTAGCTGGTTTGGCTCAGTGGATAGAGTATTGGCCTGTGGACTGAAGGGTCACGGGTTCGATTCCGATCAAGGGCACATGCCTGGGTTGCGGGCTTGGTCGGGGGAGAGGGGGGTGCAGTAGGCAGCCAATCAATGATTCCCTCTCATCATTTAAGTTCTATCTCTCTCTTCCTCTCCCTTCTTCTCTGAAATCAATAAAAATATATTTAAAAATATATTAGTATATATCAATCAACCTTATTGATTGATTTGAATCAAATTTGAAAGTCAATTCATGGACATATTGTATCTTACCACCACATTCACTAATTAATATAAACAGACTAGGTGTATGTCCCATGAGTTAATATGTTCATTTTTTTTTTCAAAAGACTACATTCCCTAGCTTTACTGGTATAGAGAGATGCCATAAGAATGACTGGAAAATATCCAATATTTTAAGGGTTACCTCTCCCAATTGTTTAAGGGAACACTTATTCCCCCAAATCTCTTCTTTCTGTGCAGAGGAATCTGGTCTCTTATCTGAGCTCTGTTTGGACTCAGGAAACAAGTTACAGAGGCAAAAGAAGGGCCCTAGGAGTTTAAGAAAAAGAAAAGTAGAGAGAATGCACCTGGGAGAAGAGAGGGAAAGGCAGAGCTATGCTAGGTGTGGTTCCCTGGGGGAAGGCGCTGGGGCTTGTCTGTAGTCTTCAATAATATGGGGGGAGAAGGAGAGAATGAGCCTGCTGGGTCCTCTGTCCTGAGGTGTTTTATCCACTCTCTAAAGGTGAGATCTGAGGGGAGGATCTCAATAGAATATTCATCAGCTTTCCTGGTATGTCCTTTCAGAGTCCTGTTCACTACTGACTGGTCCGTGCCAGGACAGAGCATCAGTCATCACAGCTGGTCCTGATGTCAGCCATGGCATCACCCCACCTGGCCTTAGTGCTTTTCTGGGCCTGAAACTGAACGACAACTGAGGCCTAGATGTTCTCTCTGCTTTGACCACAACTCTGCCAACAGACCCTAGGCTTTATTCCTAAGATTATTTGATGTGACCAGAACCTCACTGACTTGACTTAGATGTGGCTTAAGGGTGTGCTCATGCAAGGGCTTGTATGGGGCTTACAAGAGGATGTTC